GGAATGCAGACTGGTGCCACTATGGAAAGCAGTGTGGAGTTACTTGAAAAAATTAAAAATGGAACTGCCTTATCACCCAGTGATTCCTGGGAATCTATGTGAAGAAACCTAAAACACTAATTTGAAAGAATATATGCACCCCTATGTTTATTGCAGCATTATTTACAATAGTCAAGATTTGGAACCAGCCCAGGTGTCCATCAATAGATGAGTGGATAAAAAAAGCAGTGGTACATTTATACAACGGGATACTACTAGGCCATAAAAAAGAAGGAAATCTTAACCTTTGTGACAGCATGGATGGACCTGGAGAGCATTATGCTTAGTAAAATAAGCCAGTCAGAGAAAGACAAGTACCATATAATTTCACTCATATGTGGAATCTAATGAAGGAAATGAACTAACAAGCAAAATAGAGATATACTCAGAGAGAGCAGGCAGACAGCTATGGTGGGAGGGAGGTGCTGGGGGTGCAGAGGTATTGAGCAAAAAAGAAAAAGGAAAGAAAAAACTCATGGACATGGACAACAGTGTGGTGATTGCTGAGGGGAGGAGGGAGGTGGAGGTGGACATGGATGTGGATGTGGAGGAGGAGGTGGACGTGGATGTGGACATGCAGGTGCAGGTGGAGGTACAGGTGGAGGTGGAGGTGCAGTTGGAGGTGGAGGAGGAGGGTTTAGGAGGATTAATAGGTGATGGACAGACAATTGACTTGGGGTAGTGCACATACCATATAGATGATGTGTTGTAGAACTATGCACCTGAAACCCATATAATTTTGTTAACCAGTGTCACCCCAATAAATTCAATAAAAAGGAAACAAAGTAAAATAAAAAATAAAAATTCTTCTGGTTGAAAATTGCTGCATAAGTTTATTTCTTGTTTGTGCTACTTGGCTAACACAGGTGGATGGGAGACAGGGTTGGGGAATTCTCCATTGACTCATTCAAGGACCTATGCTAACAAAGGTTCTGCTATCTAGAATATTGCTGGTTGCTGTGGCAGGAGAGAAGAGTGGGACAGAATATTTGTCACTACTCTAAATGCTTCAGGCTAAACGTGACATGTCACTTTTGCTCCTACACATTGGCCAAAAGTAGTTACACATGCTCAAGTGAGCTTGAGGGTATTCAGTGAGCAGTAAGTGTCTCTTCCAAGACTCTCTGAGGATCTGGCGTATATAATTCTCCTTGTTTAAGAGAGATAATACATGATTAAGAGTGCAGACCCTGGAATTGGACTGCCAGTGTCTAGAGCATGGCTCCCCCACTTACTAGCTGTGTGACCTTGGGCAAGTCACTAAACTCTGCTGGGGCATATTTTCTCATCTGTAAAACAGGGATAGTAATGGAAAGAGCCTCACAGAATTATTGTGAGTTGTGAGGCTTGAATGAGAAAACACACACACATATATGTGTTAGAGCACTGTATCCTGTAATCATTAGCAAGCATTTGTTATTGTTGTTATTATTAATCTCCTGGCTTCCAGTATAGCATCTGAAAGGAAGGCGAACGTTTCTGGCTCTAGTTGAGGGAGCCGGTGGGAAAGAAGTTGTAGTAATATGTCTGTGACTCCAGTGTCTGGACTAGGATGATGATACTGGGCAAAGAAAAGATGGGCAAGAGAGAGTGCAAGAGGAGAAAACACGAGCAAGAATCACTGGCTGAATACCATGGATGAGAGAAGGACGGTCAGGTGTGGGTGACTGAAAGAAGCTCAAGTTTGCAGAGAAATGAGGGGGTCCCTGCGGAGAAAGAAGATGAGCTGAGGTTCCAGTGGGGTTGGTGATGGGAGATGTCCAAGGCACAGGAGGCCCCAGGAATTAGAGGAATAGAGCCGTCTCTTAGTGGACATGTTTCTGGACGTGGTGACAGCCTCCTCCTCTGGGGTCAGATGGTTTGGATTTAACTCCTGGCTCCACCTCTCCATGCGGCCTGGCACTCTAGGTTCCTCATCGGCAGCATGGAGATAATAATGGTACCCATCTCTTAAAGTGGTGAGGGTTAAATGAAATGATGCCTGTCAAGTGCTCCAAAGAGTGGGTGTCATAAGGGTTGATAATTGTTCCTTCTTAGCTAGTCTAGCTTTTAGTTGAAAGGAGATTTGGGGATTATCTTTCAACTGATGAGTTTTTCCGCACTGGATGTAAAGCAGACCTCCCCTGGCAGCCATTCTCATGAGTGCATTTAGCCCTCCCTGGATTCAGAAGAATGGGCCATGTTGTCACCAGCTCGGCTTTTCCTTTTTTCTTTCTTACCTGAATAGTCAGTGAGCAAATGTTTTTAGCTTTGCAAAGAATAACAAAGTACAATGGGCTAAAAGGTGACCAAATTAGGCCATTTTAAGGGCTAATTTAAGACCAGTGCTTCCCTTTTTAAAATTGCCTGGTACTTTTTACTGATTGGTAGGCATCACTGCCCTTTGCCTCTTGAAATATAAAATTATTTCCAAGCAGAACATATTTCTGTAGCTACTTGTTGGGCAATTAGCTCTGTGTTTTAATAGGTATAGTTTAAATTGCAGGGTCTTAGAGGGTAGCTGTCTTCAATTACACAGATGCTCTCACATATGGAATTAAGCAGTTAGGGTATTTCTCTTCACTTCATTGAGAAATTGAAAACTTCAGATATTTCAGTAGGCCTTCAGAATTTTGCTAGTAATAGTACAGAACAGGTGCAATTCGATTAGATGGATATTTGAGAACTTCCTGTGTGCCAGGCTCTGTACCATGTGCTGTGTGTATAACAGATGACATCCTCTTACTCATAAACCCACAGCCTCAGAGTTTATGATCTCCCTACTGTTGGTTATTTGTCCTACTTAAGGCTGATTGCCTGCTGGTATATAATGAAACAAGCCTTTAATACTTTTTTGGTCTCTGTGATTCATTTCTGTATTCTTAATGGAGTTAGGGTTGCATTCCTCATGCTGCCTCTAATTCACCAGATGCCTTTCCTTAGGTTTATTTATAAAGTGTGGGCAATACTATCTGCTCATCCTGTTTCACAGATTATGTAAAGGGAGACACAACATAATGTATGGACTATTTTTTAAATTATTCAGCTCTTCATATATGCCTGATGTCATTTCTAACATCTAGCATGTACTGTTCTGTACTGTCTGTACTGTTTGGTGCTGTCACTGAAGAACCAATCCATTTACACTGATTTAAACTAAATAGCTTTGAGGTGTTTTAATTAACCAAATGATCCTTTTAGAAATAAACATAAAATTATGGAAGAAATAAATAGGGTTAACTGCCATGTAACTATCAGCTCTCCTGGATGAGTTTTTCTAGCTCAATATTTTTTAAATTGTTAATAATATATCACCTGATTCATATAGAAAATACTTATGTGTTGTGATTTTCAAACAATGTATTCTATATGAGGCAACCTCCTTTGTTCTGTAACAGAATACAAAAATTATATAGCTCTGTTCCTGTTCTCCAAGTTTACCTGTTTGTGAGGGAAATGCACAGGGAATAAATAAATGTAAAGCCAACTAATTATACAAGACAATGGGAAGGTACCCCAAGGCCATGTGTGAACAGTGGCTTCATCCATTAAATAGGCAGTTAGGTCCTTTTGAAGGGGAGAGGTAAAAGCTGAGTTTGACTGGAGTACAGACTTTTTAAAAGAAAGAATTGTTCAACATAAAATTTGCCTTTTTGATAATATGGCTACTGATGATTGGATACAATCTTTTATATAGATTTGTGGTATAGTGGAGGAAGGAAGCAGAAAACTATAAACAGATAAAAGAATACATAATTCCTTTACCAAGGGACGTAGATCTTTTATGCTTAAAGGACCTTAAGAATTGACTCCATTAACACTGAGGACTCTTTCATCTGCTGTGAAGGAGCGTGTTAGTTCATACATACAATAGTTTATGCTCAGATGTAGTTGTAGAACTAGTATACCCTAAAGATACACAGAAATTAAGGAAGCTTTGTTTCTGGTTTTCCTTTAGTAGCTTTCACAATGCTTCTTTTTTGGGACCCAATTCAGATGACTACATGCATGAAATTTAATGCTTTGTCCTTTCTTCCCCTTCACTTGGGAAGGTTTCTAGATGAAGGAAAGGCCCTAAGATTCTGGCTTCCATCTATGCGGTCTCACCTGTCTCCATAAGGTGTTTCAAAGATCAGTGCCAGTGGCTTTAAGGTCAGGCAGCTCTTTGTGAAGTTAACGCAATACAAATCTGAAAGTACTCAGTAAATGGTGTTGAATCAACCATTACAGTTAATTTTCTTATAGGCTAAAAGTTGAAAATGAGTAAGATAAGAATTTAAAAGGAAATATCTTCAGGATATAAAGACCAATAAAAATTTAAAGTATGACTCATAATACAGTACTTCTTTATGTTCCATTACCAAAATTGATATCATTGCTAACACAGATACTGTACTGTGGTATTTCAGGATTGAGTGAAATAGATCTGAGCTGGCAGACAGGGTGACTGTATTTGCAAAGGTCATGCTACTCATACTAGGATACTCATTTGAACAAATGTATAATGTTGTAAAGAATCCTAGGAACTCTACGTTTATAATTTTGCATTTTACTCCCGATCTTTTTTAGGCAAGCAGCAACTACACCACCTGCTGCTCATCTTCCTACCCTTTCTGGTAACCCAGACCACTGAAAGGTACTGGGTACTACCAACCTATGAATAATAATAATAATAATAAAATGATCCCCTAGAGACCCAAGACAAAACAAGTATATTTGTATAATTTTTTAATTCCCAAGAATAATTTAGCAAGTGGACCCTCTTCCCATTGGGTACCTCCACATAGAGCCCTTGCCATATTCCTGAGCAGTGGCCCTTAAACACTATACCGGCTGTTTGGAGGAAGAGCTCAATGCTTTCACTGCCTCCATCACCATCATCTTGTGTTATAATATTGCTTCCCAAATCTATCTACTGCTAAATTATAGCCTCCGTGTAACTTCTGCTGTTAGTTGATAGTGAGCATTGAAGGACATACTCATAATTTTGTAGAATCCTATTTATTCCAAAAGAGTTCTTTGAAACAAAATTTAATGACTCAAAACAAAAAGCATGTGTTATTGAGGAAATAAAGTCTGAGAGTAAAAAAAAAAAAAAACACAATTGAAGAAATACGTTATCAAAAAAAGAAATATGTTACAATATTAACATTTTTACACTGGCTATATACAAACTTAACAGTCTTTTTACTTTTGCCAAATCATTGGCAAGAAATGTAAATGATTAAATTTTTCATTTACACAAAACTTTCCTTTTTATACTGAGAGTTATTAAAATAGCCTCCCTTTTGGTATAACATTCCATTTACAAATTAAAACTTTGTTTTATGTTGTTCTGTTGAGTATAAAAAAATACATATTTATCAGTTTACTTCCAAGTTGGAGGTGGGAAATAGTGCCCCAAGAAAGGAATTTAAAAGAATCCTAATTGGAAGTTGAATAATCATTTTGGTTTATAAGAAAAGTCCTGCAAAGTTTGTCATATAGTTTACTTTGCTATAAATCCAACATTTAATTGCTTTTTATTTTCCATTTAAAGACTTGGAATGTATCATAATTTGAGTTTCTGTCATTTCACGTGAGTTTTCTTCAGGGGCTGACTTCACAGCACTGGAAATTGATACACTGACTTGACGTTTCAGCATCTTCATAACCTTTCTCTTGTACCCTTTACATGCAAAGAAATATATAAAAGGGTCCATGCAGCAGTTAAAGTTCATGAGGCATACGGTAAAGTGCAGAGAAATTTGGAATGAATGTCTTTGGCTACATTCCAGGAGATCAGGAAAACGAAGCTTCTTGATCATGTGCTGAATAATTGCTACATGGTAAGGTGTGAAACAGAGAATAAACACAACAATTATAAAAATTATTGTGTTGAGGGCCTTTCTGTTTATGCCGGACTTCTCAGCCAGTGGGTTTTGTTTGGCAGTTTTAAAGAGTTTGCAACAGATTTGAGAATAGCAGATGAGAATAATTATGAGCGGAAGCACATATCCTATGAAACATGCACCAAGCAGAATCCAGGGGAGAGATTTTGTTTCTTCAAAGTTTGGGTATTCCATGCATGTCGTCCTCTCATTCTCCTGCTTTGACATGGATTTTATGAGTAGTGGGAGCGTTTGGGCAAATACTAGAATCCAGACACATATGCAAATGCATTTTGCATGCTCAATTCTTTTCATCTTGTTGTATCGCAGAGGGTGCACCACGGCAAAGAACCGGTCGATGCTTAGACAGGTCATGAAATTCACACCTGCGTATGTATTGATGTAAAACACGAGAGCAGTTATCCTGCACAAGGCCTCACCGATTCTCCAGTCAAAGCCTAGGGCATAGTAGGCTATCCGTGTAGGCAAAGCAGTGGTGAAAAGTATATCAGAAATCACCAGATTTGTTGAATATAGGGTGGTAGAGTTGATTTTCTTCCTGTTTTGAACAATGACAACCAAGGCTAACAAGTTTCCCACAAGCCCAATTACGAAGACAATGCTATAATGCAGAGGCATTAATATCCTGGCTGTGCCATGGTGTGCATAGAGGTCACAGTCACTTTCCTGAGGAGCTGTGGAGGGTGTAGTAAAGTTGTCCATTTTTATATCCATCAGCAGTGTTCAAGATCTCTAGAAAAAGACAAGAAGGGTAAGTCTAATTAAAAGCAGATTTACATGCAACAGACTGATATTTCAGAGGGAAGGGGGTTTGGGGGCCGGAAGAGATTAACCAAAGAATTTATATGCATATATGCATAGCCCATGGACAAACAGTGCGGGGCAGACCTGAGGAGGGGGCGAGGGGGTGTCAACCGGAAAATAAAGGGTCATCTGTAATACTTTCAAAAATAAAATAAACAAACAGATTTAACTCAAAGCAATATAAACTACCTCTTATAGATACAATTTAAAATTTTTAAGATTCATATAATTTTTAAAAATCTATGATAGGTAATATGGTTATATATATAGTAACAGGAAAAACAGAGTAAGATTCATGTTTTTACTCTTACAATTTGGTGATTTTGGCAAAGCCCTGACAAAGGAATTAGAACCATTTGCATAGCACAAATGTGTGTGTTTTTTGTGACAAGAGGGAGTGTGCTAACTTTTTAGGCAGAACTTTCCACTTCCTTTTTTGAATCATTGTCTGGTTAAGAATAAAATCATGTAAAGCACCCCACATTTCAGACAGGCATAAAACTTTGCTTTTAAATTAACTTTCAGTTGGACTTTTTTTCCCCCAAATGCGTATCGCTGCCAGGAAATGAAATCAGTCACGTATTTATGTTGTGAAATACGAACTCACCACAGTGATCTGATTTGTGTTAACCTAAAAAGCATAAGAAACAAGCCAAGGCCTTGTTAGGAACTGAAAGTTAGGTTTCCTTAAAAGAAAAAAAAAACAGAAGAAAAAGATGATGATGATGAAGATGACCACGACGACCGCGAGCAGAACGACAGAGAAGAAAAGGAAAAGAGAAAGGGAAAACTTTCAAACTAATTTTATTTATTTATTTTAAATATATCTTTATTGATTTCAGAGAGAGGGCAGGAGAGGAAGAGAGAGAGATAGAAACATCAATGATGAGAAAGTCATTGATTGAGCATGTACCCTGACCGGGAATCGAACCCTGATCACCTGGATCCCAGGTCGACGCTCAACCGCTGAGCCACGCCCAGCCGGGCTCAAACTAATTTTAAACTATTATTCATGGAGTGTACATTCTTTCACTACACGTGGTATTTCGTGTCGTGCTTTATTCACTTAACATGTTCATGGATCCGTGTAATCTATTTATCTGTTATAGGTGTAGGTCTTATGTGGATATTTGATAGGTGTTCTACAGTATAATTTGCTTAGCTCTTCCTTTGATGAACATTTGGGTTATTCCAACACTTTCCTTGTTTTAAGTAATTTTAGGATGAAATTTCAAGTCCTAAGTTGAAGAGTAGGAAATTCCTACAATAAAACTCCATATAGGAGGCTAAATGTTGATAAAACTAAGGAAGAGCACAGCAATAAGTCCTGTGAAGTTATTTTTAAATGAAAAATAATTTTCTGGTAGGACTATCTAGGTCCACGAATCTCATCTGAAAGGCACCAAAGTTAAGGGAAATTTTCAGTATATCTAGTGATGATGGTTCTCTATGATAGAGGAAAAGGACTCTCCCTAGTCATATCAAGGCCCCGACTGCAAATCCGCTTCTCCGAATGTGGTATTAAGTGAATTGGATCTCTGCTAACTTCGTTTTAACCATTTTAAAACAGTGATGCGAACAGACAACAAGGGTTATCAGAGGATTGCACTAATTAATGTTACAGGTGTGCATTACATACAGTGCTGATAGGTTAATCATTAAAATATGGAAATACAACCCAAACTAAAAGGGAACAGAAATGGAAGTGGAACTTCTTATTAACCAACAGAAGACAGAAAAGGAGATTAGGGGGGGAAAGGATAGAATGAGGATGGTAAATAGAAAATACAAGTAAGAGGGTAGAAATGTGTTATAGCAAATTTAAATGGATAGGACTTACATATTGAAAGACAGAGACTATCAGTTTGGATTTTTTAAAAATCCAGGTCTGTGCTACTTAGAAGAGATATAACTCAAAATGATTTAGAAAGAGCAAAAATAAAGGCTTGGTAGAACAGATACCAGGCAAATCCCAAACAGTGTGGAAAACTAGAGTACAAGTATTAACTTCAGAAAACAGTGAATTCAAGGCATATTCAGTATTAATAGGGATAAAGAAGGCCACTACAAAAGTTAAAAGAGTAGTTTACAAAGAACAGAAAAATAATCATGATTGTGCATGTAACAACAAAATTTGACAGAATTTAAAGGAGAAATTGGCAAATCCACAACTTAATGGGAGATTTTAACACATTTTTATTAGAATATGCCAGATAAAAAAGAAATTAAAGACTTAGATTTACCTACATGACTTCAAAGCTAACAGAATTTGTGTTGAAGGCACATGACCATTATTTGCAAATTTGACTATGTTACAAGATCATCAGAGACATCTCAAAACTTTCAGAAAATCATGATTTGGCAGCTCACATTTCCTGTGACTACAGTGCAACTAAATTACAAATCAACAATACAAAAATAAAGGAGACATTTGGAATCTAAAAAATATATTTCTAAGGAATGCATGGGTTAAGAAATCACAATGCAAATTTTGAAGTGCTTAGAACTAAGTGACAAAAATGCTGCATGCCAAAACAGGGATGTGGCTAAAGATTCCATTGAATACAGATGCAAAGCCTTGAATGTATTTATTTTTTTAAAAGATTGAAATAGATAAGTTAAATATTTAGCACAAGAAGCTAGAAAAGAACTGAGTTTGCCCTAAGAAGGTAAACACAAATAAAAATAATTGTAGAAATTAATGAAATAGAAAATAAAAGAAACAATAAACATGGACTTTATATTTTGTACAGGAAAAAGGTAAAGTGATTCTTAAAAAGGAAATCATGGGAATTGCAATTGTGGAATAAATCTAGGAAAAAACTTTGTCCAGTCTGTCTGAGAAGTAACTTTCTAAGAACTGAGACTAGGCATGAGGGGGAGAGGAAAATTCCAGGCAAAGGTTCCATTTTGGGAGCAGCAGCAAGAGCTTCTTTCATTTTTCTACTGTCTATGAAAAAAACTTTTTTTTTTTCCCTGAAAATCCTAACAGATATATTTTATTTTTAGAAGTACTTCCAAGCAGGTTCATGGGAAATGCCTTTAAAATACAAAATGGGGGGAAATATACTGTGGAGTCTGATAATTCTCCATGTGATTAATTATTAGTGTAGAGATTAGGAAAGTTACCACTAATGTAAGAATCAGAGGAGAATGTGCCATTGCTTGCAAGTTGTAAATGCATGTCCAACCTCTTCACTGAATTAAATGCAGCATCCATTAGAGCCAAAAATGGCAAGGGGTTCATTCAGAACATTTTAAGTTAAAGCATGTTTAACACCATGTTAATTATAAAGGTGAGAATCTGCAATCCCATTAAATGTCCATCACTAGGGGATTGATTAAATGTTTCATGGTATAGCCATATAGTGGAGGACTATGCAGCCATTGAAAATGGCAACATAGATGCCTGTTTCTTGATGGGGAATAATGTTAAGTAGGAAACAGATTACATAACATACCACTTCTTTGGGAGGAAAAGCAACTGTATACACACACGCACCTGCATGGATATATATGCCAAGTATAATTTTGTAGAAGTAGTTTTTAAATTTTATTTATATAATCAAAGTTTTTGACATTGAACATGAATTGGCTGTGAAATAAGCAAATAGGTAAATATATCTTTTCTAATCTGAGGAAAAATTTTTAATTCAGCTGTTTTGGTAATAACCTTGTCATGTGACACACTTTTTAAAAAATTGTTTATATATTTGTTTGTTTTGTTAATCCTCACCCGAGGATATTTTTTCCATTGATTTTCAGAGATAGTGAAAGGGAGAGGGGGAGGGGGAGGGAGGGAGAGAGAGAGAAAGAGAGGGAAAGAGAGGGAAGCATCGATGTGAGAGAGACACAGCAATTGGTTGCCTCGTTGCCTCCCACGCACGCCCCGACAGGAGGATCGAACCAGTAAACCAGTTACATGCCCTTGACCGGGAATTGAGCCTGTGAGCCTTCAGTGTGTGGACCAACGCTCTAACCATTGAGCCATACCAGCCAAGCCTGACATACTTTTCAAAGCTAGCCCTTTAGTGCTCTTTATTCAGCTTTATGCATTAGTTTTTACTAGGTGCCTACCTTTCAGTCATGTCCCAAAGAACCCTCATAACAACCCTGCAAGCTAAGTATTACTATCACCTACCTACTTTCCATGTGAAGAAACTTGAGTGTCAGAGAGATTTAAGGTCATGCTGGGTCCTTCTCTCTGATGACCTGGTTTTCAAGTCTACTCTTTCCAATCTTTGGCAGGGGCAGCTAGTTCATACTGCTCTTGAAATGAGAATTTGTACTTTCAAAGTGGCCTAGGCTTTCGGGCTCTCTTTACCTGTAAACAAACAGCCTGGGTACCACGTGGCCCAGCTTCTCCAGAGCAGGGGAATGATTCTTCCTAAGGACAACAGGGTTCCCACTTCCATGTGAGGTGCCTTTCCAGATGGGAAGCCAGACCTGTGGACACCGAGTTATAGAGCCGTGAAAAAAGACTGTTGAGGGGCCTCTAACTACCCACCCTATCCTGTGTCAGTCAAAGAAAGGCATTTGCACAGTTTGGTCATGTAAATGTCATGGCTCAGAAATGATCTTAGGTAAAGAAGAATCTACACTGTTTTGAGATATGTTCATTTGGATATTTAGTAACCTGTCGAAGGTTGATTCCATTAGTCAACAACTGCAGTGTACTACTTTCGTTCTTGCTTACATCTATCTCCATTATTAATGCTATAGTCTTAGTCAATTTTATCTTTTCCAAATTAACAGAAAAATCCTTTCATGAATTTGACTGTCATTATTCCATTATTATATTTTTGATGGTATTTTATTTTAATTTATTATCATCTTTTCTCAGAGATACTATTTTATTCTTTAATCATCTTAAAATTTCTTTCCCGAACCTTCACTTACCCCATTCTTTTGTTTACTGATAATTGTTT